ATTGATTGGTTATTTTTTTTTTTTTTATTGAATTTATATCCAATCACACCATTAAAAGCTGCACAACAGATGATAGCAGCAATAAGGTTATAATGTAAGTTTAACACAAGACGCGCACAATCTTTATACACTTTCATAATACTTTGCGATAAAGAAATATTAGTAAAAATATTCAGCAGGGAAAAGATAAATTACGAGCTAACGAGTCCAAAAGAGACTCCTGAATTAATTGGTCATCATGAACATCTGGATGAGAACGATCAGCAGGATCCGTGTGCAAGCCAACATGCCAATCCTTTTTAACTTTCAACCTCGGAATAACCAGTTTATCTGACATAGCATAGCCTGAAACCCTATTTAAGGAAAAGAGAGCTCAGGACATATAAATATTTCCACACGTAAAATGAAGTATTCAAAAATTGTTACCTGAAAAATAGCACTTCTCCATTGTAAGTGGCTAAAGCAATTTCTCTCACACCATCCTTGTCAATATCATATAGAAGAGGACTGGAGTGAACAGTTGACTGATGAAAAGCAGGCCATCCTGATAAATTACAGAACAAATATTTGAAGATCACATTTCTTGTATGTTTGTTTCATGCAATATTTCAATTCAATATCACATTTTTTCCGTAATGGGATTGGATACTTTGTAAGAGATGGGTTGAATTTGGATTTTAATTTTTTTTTTTAATTTCAGAAAATATCACAATAGTTTAAGAATTAGCTGGAGATAATATGCACTATAAATGCTTATTAAAATTATAATATACCCACAACAGGGTTGTAGCTAGACATATATGAAAAAATATAATTGTAATAACGATTAATAAGTACTTTGCGAGAATAAAAATGTCCTACAAAACAACTGAAGAATTTATAATTTTCCATTAAAAGATAAATAAACGCTCAGCAAATTACTGGAAAAACTTAACTTCTTTATCTATCTTAGGATATTTTTAGATATAGAAATAGAAACCAATACAATGCATTGTCACAGATGTTAGAACACTGGCCTTGAGTAAACATACCTGGCAGTTTATCCCCATCAGAGCCTTCAAGAACTTCCAAGTAATGCACAAAAGAAGGGACAACAACTTCAAGCTTTCCATCACTAAGGTAAAAATAAGAAAATATTTCAAAACCCAAGATCAACTCAAAGAGAGCAACAACAACAACAACAACAACATACCCAGTATATTCCCAACAGGTTGGGGTCTGGGGGGTCAGTTGTACGCAGACCTTACCCTTGTAATTATACAAGGAAGCTGTTTCCGTAGCGACCCATGGTGCATTGCGCCGTATGATATATTTTTTTTTTCTATAAACTTCACTAATAGAAGAAGCACTAGAATTTAATTGAGCCATTTTGATCTAGTCCATTACTAGCACTATGCCAGGAAAATTGTCAACAATGACTCTTCCAGCTCCATTTGCAATGGACAAGATCAACTCAAAGAGAGCATAGGCAGAAAAAACATATACCAAATAAACTTGCAGAACTAAAAAGCAGAAAATCCCTTCACATCACCTGTTAATGTCGGCAATCAAAGGTGAAGCATATACACTAGAACTCACTTCAGTCTGCCACCTCAGTTCCAAGTGCCGAGGGCATTGCGTATTCAACAGCTCATCTTCATCACTAGCCACACAAAACCATCAAGCATATTGCATCACTAAAATTACTAAGTTAAAAATCACATTCACCAGAAATGCTTATATGCAACTGCCCCATCATCGACAACTGATTGATACGCTATTATCAATTAACCCAAAAAAAAAAGAGAAACCCTCTTACAGACAGCATTTCAATTAGGAGAAAAAAACGAAAAAAGTTCAAGACTTTACTAATCCAATCAGTAATGCACGAGATGCTTAAGGCATTTCGTGTTCAACAGCTCATCTTCATCACTAGGACACACAAAATCATCAAGCATAATGCATCAATAAAATTATAAACTTATAATCACAATCACCAGAAATGCTTACATGCAGCTGCCCCATCATCAAAAACTGATTGACGCACGATTACCAATTAAACAGATAGCAATTCAATCAGGAAAATATAACGAAAAAAGCTCAATACTTTACTAATTCAATCACTAATGCACGAGTCATAAATAAACTCACAAATTGGGGTAACCTAGGGTATCGTCGGTGGCCTCGCGCTCGCGAAACTTGTTCTTTTTGGGCTCCTCCGATTGGGAAACGCCATAATCGAAACTCAAACACGACAAAGTGAAAACAAGAAAACTTAGAAACAGCAAACTCCAGGTTTTCATGAATCAGGCGCAAGAAAACCCAGGATTTCGCTAAAAATTAGGGTAAGGGGCACGAGCTCGTTCTAGTCAAAGCAAAGTGGTAATGGGTTTTGGAGATCTCTCAGAAGAAAGTGAGAGTTTGGAGCAAAATCGAGAGTTAGAGAGGACTCGTCAATTTTTTTAATTTTTTTTTTCGTCATTTATTCTCTTTCTATCTAATAATTTATTTGTACCTATTTTGTGTGAAGTAGTGTCAGGAAATGAGATCCCATATATTTTAATTAAGGGGAAACTCCACTTTTGCTCCTCCATGTTTAGGGAGTATCCAGATTGAGTCCCCATTATATTTTGGTGCCTAATTTTAGTCCTTAAAACAAAAAAATATAGTCCTTATAATAGAGAAAAATCCACTTTTAGTCCTCCATGTTTAGGGGTATCCAAACTTAATCCCTATTATGTTTTGATGCTCAATTTTAGTCCTTAAAACAAAAAAATATAGTCCCTTTACCTCAATTTATGTGAATTAACGGTCCATTTTTGCTCGACCGTTATGTTCTTCATTTTTTTAAAATTTGTTGACTAATGTCAACTTTGACCAAAGAAAAATAAAAAAAAATTAAATGCTGAAAAAAGGTAAAATAAAAGGCAGAAATGGTGAAACGTAGAAAAAAAAAATCTGACCGCCTAGAGACTAAATCCGATCAAATGGATGGAAATGGTGTGGTATTTTGCAGATGTGAGCTGGTTGCAAAGTTGACTACATGCTGGAATGATGATAATCCCGAGAGAAGATTCTTGAGTTGCCCTCTATATCATGTAAGTACTTTCTGTGAACTTCAATTAGAATATGATAATAAATGGTTAAAAAACAGAGGGTTGATAGGTGCAATTTTTTTCGATGGCATGACCCGGAAATGGGTGCAAGAGCAGTAGCTATGATTCCAGGCTTGCTCCGCAGCGCGAATGCTAGTGAAATAGAAATCAGACGAGCAAAAATTTTAATTTAATTTGGTGCAATTTCTTGTTTTAGTTTAATTTTTGATTAATATATTTTCAGCATTTAAATTTTCTTTTATTTTTCTTTGGTCAAAGTTGACATTAATCAACAAATTTTAAAAAAATAAAGAACATCACAGTCGAGCAAAAATGGACCGTTAATTCACAGAAATTGAGGTAAATGGACTACATTTTTTTGTTTTATGGACTAAAATTGGGCATCAAAACATAATAGGGATTAAGTCTGGATACCCCTAAATATGGAGGACTAAAAGTGAATTTTTCCCTATTATAGGGACTACATTTTTTTGTTTTAAGGACTAAAATTGGGCACCAAAACATAATAGGGACTCATTTTTTTGTTTTAAGGACTAAATTGGGCACCAAAACATAATAGGGACTCAGTCTGAATACCCGCTAAACATGGAGGACCAAAAGTGGACTTTACCCTTTAATTAATTGTTTTCAATGTTTTGTTTCTTGACATTTTTAATTCGTTTTATTTCATAGTTTGAAGGTTCTTTCATCAGTATATTGTAGTTTTAAAATTTAATATACGATCCAAATATCATTTACAAAGACTTTGTTGTACATGGTTAACATTAGCTATTACCTAAATCATTCTAAAAAGTTGGTTTGACGAACATAAATTAATTAGCACAAACAAATTAACATACTACAATTAATATTGTGTTAATGGGAAAAATAATTTAGACAAGTAGCATGTGCAAGGCCTAGTAAAATTTTAAATGTGGCTTACAAAACATTGAATATAAGCCTTCTAAGAAAATATAACTAACAAAAAATCATCATCATTATTATTTTTTTAAATTAAAACTATTTATTTGTCAATTTCAAACTTTATTAACTAACATGCTTGTAATTTTTCAGTACATCGATTAAACAGATCATTATTATTTCAGTTTTTAATTTAAAATTAATTTTTGGTGACTCAAAACTTTATTCCATGAGAAAGGGTGACCTAACCATTAGATACATATAATTTTATAATAAATACATATAATTTTATACATACATACAAACATACTTTAGGCAACAATATTTAATTGTACAACGAGTTGATACTTACACAAGATTATTTATCCAAATAGATGAAAAAAAGTCCATTTTCACTCAATTCCAAAAACCTTTTTTTTTTTAAATGAAAAATTGATAAAACTAATTGAAATTTGAAATGACCAAATTGAATAGAGCTGGATCTGGAAAAAAGTTCACATAAACAAAACAAATAATAATAATAAACAAAAAGACGAATAAAACAAAATTTACACCTATATATATAATATAATCAACAAAATTGGGGGAAAACGGTACCCACTACAATTATTCGCCGTCAAGACACTGAAAAAAACCCAAAATCACGCCGCAAAAAATGTTCTCCGACGAGGCCCTTTTCCGGCACTGCCTCCTCTCCCTCTTCCTCATCACGCCCCCCACCGTCGTCTCCCTCCTCTTCCTCTCTGCCCCCTACGGCCGCCACCGCCGCTCCGGATGGGGCCCCACCCTCCCCCCGCCGCTCGCCTGGCTCCTCATGGAGAGCCCCACCGTCTGGCTCACCCTTCTCCTCTTCCCCCACGGCCGGAACCGCCGCGACGCCCGCGCCCTCGCCCTCATCTCCCCCTTCCTCCTCCACTACCTCCACCGCACCCTCGTCTACCCCCTCCGCCTCCACCTCCAGGCCCGCCGCCGCCGCGGCCGCGGATCCGGGTTCCCGGCCAGCGTCGCGGCGATGGCGTTCGTGTTCAACCTGCTGAACGCCTACCTGCAGGCGAGGTGGGTGTCGGAGTACGCCGATCTCGACGGAGACCGGTGGTTCTGGTGGAGGATGGCCGCCGGCGGGGCGGTTTTCGTCGGCGGTGCGGCGGCGAACGTCTGGTCGGACGGCGTGTTGATGGGGTTGAAGGAAAGTGGGGATGGGTACAGGGTGCCCAGGGGTGGGCTTTTTGAGTGGGTCAGCTGCCCGAATTATTTGGGCGAGATTGTAGAGTGGTTGGGCTGGGCCGTCATGACGTGGTCGTGGGCTGGGCTTGGGTTCTTCGTGTACACCTGCGCAAACCTAGTGCCGCGGGCCGGGCAGAACCATAGATGGTATTTGGAGAAGTTTGGGGAGGATTATCCTACCAATAGGAAGGCTGTTATTCCGTTTGTGTACTGAATTACCGATGATGAAATTAATATTTGTGTTGACATTTTTTCCTTTTTCTCTTTCTTTTGAATATTTGCGTTGACCCTTT